AGAGAGAGAGAGAGAGAGAGAGAGAGAGTGTGTGTGTGTCAAGTTCATATGAGCACAATAACCAAATAAAAGAATAAGAAAATTGTCGTGTAAAATTACATGTGATTCACGCGACTTTGGCCGCTAGCTGAGGTCGCGGGCCATGTCGCCCGCACACCCTTGCGTTGACCGTTACTGTAAAATCACATGTGATTTAACCAGTTTCGTATTCTTTTATTTAGTTATTGTTTTCGTTTGAACCACTCTCTCTATGTATCTATCTAACGAAACAAAAAAGGTAGACTGATGATAACTTCTACCTTGATCCAGGAATGTACAAGGATTGTATAGAATGCATCAATATTGAACCAAGCTCGTTCTGAAGGTCGAAAATCCGTACTCCTTCCTCATAGCTACTACCAAATGCAGTACGTGAAATTACATCGCCAGTTAACTTTTGAAGATGAGCAAAAACATCCAACTCGAGCGACTTCTCGTTTGAAAACATCGTCTCCCACCTCTTTATCATCTCACAACAACTCAAACACATAGCCGGCACCATCAACTACATCAAACAGATCAAAACACAAACCATCAAGGGCGCGTCTAAGTTGGGGCATACTATGGTGATACGGGTCATTGCTTCATGGTTCCATGATCACAACTCACAGTTATTGAACTCAAGAAATAAATTAACTTCATAATAACCGTTTCAAACCTTCAATTTCTCGGCATGGAAAGTCGGGTTGATGATCTTTCGATGTTTTGACCATTTCTCTCCTTCATAGTCGATTATGCCCGTTGATAGTATCTTAACATAAGGATTGTTCTTTCTGGGCTTTTGAAACTCGTTCATTCGGGATAAGATGTCCCTAACAACATCCAGATCAATAACATGCACCGTCGGCACTGGTCCAAACCATGCAAAGAAAATCTTACCTACAAACCCAATAAAAGATGGGTGAAAGAGTGTTCTTAGCGAATGCAACGGGTAACACGAAAACAGACTGGTCTCATATGATCTCAAGTCTATATATATATATATATATATGTATATATATGTATGTATGTATAATTGAGTTCCGGTGAGAAGAGAAATTATAGTGAGAATCGCAAGAAGAAATCTCTACCCTTGGATCAATCCTAATTAAATGTCAACACTAATAAAGTGCACTAAGATGCACCAGATCGATCAATCAGGTCCCTTCTAAAGCACAATTCACGGGTAGGCATGAGATTAAAAGTGATTAAGAGTTCAGATCTCTTTTTACGCTTCTGACTTAACTTTTTTTCTCACACGATCATTCACCTATATATGTATAGGGTTGGGTTCGGGTGAGAATAAGAGTTAAGATGAAAAGCGTAAGAAAGGATCTCCACATTGGATGCACATTAGGATGAGATGCATCGGACCAATCCCCATATTAAGCTTGATTGATGGGTAAGTTTGAGACTAAAAGTGATCAAAGGTCCAGATCATTTCTTATGCTTCTTATTTTAATTCTTCTTTTCATATGATCTTTTGCATATATATATATATATATATATATATATATATATATAGAGAGAGAGAGAGAGAGAGAGAGAGA